CCCCCCCCCCCCCCCGACAAGACTACCAGTGCCGAGCACCTCTATTACTGTAGTTGTTCTATGCCACAACACACCCGCACCCTCGCCCCTCCTGCAGGGGCGCCTTCCCTGCCTCATCGGGTCTATGATGGGCCCTACCTTGACCCCTACTTTGTCCCGCTTCATTTTCTTCTACAACCCTAACTTCTTGGTTTCGACTTTCCCCGACGTCCTTCGCCATGTGAGCCTCTGCTTGTTTCGGCGCCGCTGTTGCTCCCACCACTGGTGGTGCTGCGATGTCCTTGTTATCCCCCCGCGGGTCCCGAGAGATCGCCACACCGCCCCCCTCCTCCGGCGGACCGTCTGCCCCCATACGTTGTTGGTCGTCCTGCGACGCTCGCATGCTCCCATCGGTAATGACTTTGGGTGCCAAAGCGAGGGCCTCCTCGCTGGCCGCTTCGCGATCTACTGGGGCTTGCACGTTACCATAGGCTGCTGCTGCTGCTGTTGCTGCGCTGACGGCACCAGCGGAAACATCATCCCGTGTCACCGCGTCATCTCCATCAAGCTCAACCGGCGGGCCATGGACATCACCACTGGCGTCGACCACGAACATGCTCCCATCAACTCCTCCCGCGGCCGCGCTCCCAGCACGTTCGTCGTTGAACCTATCTCTCGGCGCTTCGGGCTGGTGCGGCTCGGGTCTTCGCGTTTCCGCCAAAGTCAGGACTTTAGAGTTTTCTTTGCCTTCTCCGTCGTGTCCTGTCCCTTCTGTGCAATTTGGGATCTCTTCTTTGGCAGGGGCTGCATTTCCCACTTCCTCCTCCTCACCCGGTTCCCTCTCTGGTACGGTCGTGGCATCTCCCCGCGGGCTGCCCGAGGGAGAGGCGGGGGGGGCGGCAGCTGGGGGTATCGACAGCAGTCCCCCCCCGTCTCGTGACGAGCCTCCCATTCTTCGCATGCCGTTCACGAATTCCTCGAAGCTGATCTGCGGACGCCGGGGGGGGGGCGGGAACACGGGGTCGCAGGCTCAGCGGGGGAAGGCGATGCGACTCGAGTTCAAGACAGCACCTGTTATTTGTCCCAAGTGGCCGTTGAAAAACAATCGTGGGACTTCCAATGGGCGGATATACGCCAGGCCGATCTACCGGCCCTAAAGTGGGGACCCGCCCTTTTATTCGGGGTTTGTACCTACTCGATTCTTCTATTTATCTGAGCCAAGATATTTCTCACCCGCGCTACACCGGCCAACCGCTCTATTAAACCCGGGCCCACGAATGTAACACAATTCATAGACACATTAGAGGTACCTATCCTGCCCGGTTGCTTACACGTTCCGCTCGTACACAGCGCGTGCTACAGGTCCGCTCTCAATTGCTCTCACTTACTTGTCCGTCTCCATTCATGTCGAAGTGCCCCACGAGGACTTTCGACTCCTCCTCATTGGCCGCGGCCCCCGTGGTAAGGGTAACATCGTCGAGGTTAATGAAGCCCGTGTGGCTGCGGTCGAGGCGATCGAACGCCGGACGCAGGGACTGCTTGTCCATGTGTCGCTGCTGGATCGCCGCGGCGAGAAACTCGTTGAAGTGTATGGAACCTAAGAGGAATGACGACAAGAGAGGCGGCGGGAAAGTAATTTGGCGTGGTAGTTCTGGTTGCTTCTCGGAACGAGGGGTAGAAATCTATGATGTACCCCCGAAAGGTAGGAATACAGGTGCCCGCCAATGTTCCAAACATTTGGCGTGAAGGCATCCTGCGGGATGCTGGCAGATGAATAGTTACATAATTGCTGAGGAAAAGACTGGCATCGCACGAACAGGTCGCCAACACAGGCGCACAAGAGCAAAAAAACGAAAACGTTATCATGCACAACGTTGATCTTTGTCGTCCTAGCGTTTCAGGCAATGTCCTCGAAAACATTGTGCTACGACGGGGAGTACGTTGCCGAGTTAACAACAGTCATCCGGCAAGAGAATGCAATATAAAAACGAACCCGCTCTGCGAGCGGCGCCACGCTACCCCGACATATGGCTTATCATGTACCACGCCGCGGCTTGATGCCATCACAAAGATGCGTACCAACGTCGCATGCATTGCTTTCACAAAGGATCGATTTCGTCGGCACCAACCGTACCGGAGTGGTCGACGTCCACCGAGTTAAACGACGCCTCCACGTCCTCGTCGGCCATGCCTCTGGCCGCACCGTTGGCCTCCAGCCATCGCTTAAACTCAGCAAGAGACACCTTGTATTTTAGGCAGCAATGGGGAGAGGCGAAGATCGCGTCACGTGTTTCACGGGAAGCTACCTGGCGAAACCAAACTATATGGCGGTGGTTTCCACACACATGGTTGTCAAACAAGAAGTGGCTTGCAGAAAAGAAGCACTAAACATGTAACTTCTGACGAGGGTGCGCCCACCTCGCCGTTGTTGTTGTTGTCGGCGCGATCGAACTCATCGGCCAGCTGGCGTATCTGCGTCGGGTCCAGGGTGCGCGCCACTACCTCGAGCGCTAGCTGCTTCATGGGGTTCGCGTCCCTGTCGGGGGTGGGGGGTTCATGTAAACGCATGCCGTAGTCGTTCGACCATTGATCTCACATCCCTTCAATGCCAGTACGGAGCGATATTCCGCGTTGTCGCCAGCTGAGCCTAGTGGGGGAGGGGAGTAGGGAGGGGGCAAACAAAACCTCAAGCGAATCCCGCACACGACGCACGCGGATGCTGCACACAGACGGCCGGGCGGCGGCGGAGGCGAGCGAGTTTTCAACGCGTTCGACGGTGTAGGTGCGCGATGGTTCTTCAGTCATGCCGCCCCAAAGCCTACGGGAACGGCTCCTAGAGCAGACTGACCACGATTGGGGCCACGGTCGTCGAAAGCTAGTCAAGAGCTTGCACACCACCAATGACTTGGCCAACGGGACCAGTAGCCGCCAGCACTAGATACAGCCCCCCTTCGATTTTCTCCCACCTAAAGCTGAGCAGCGATTGCGTGACCTCCTCGCGAAAGGTCGAGTCCTTCCGTGGAGTTTGAGACAAGTCCTCTGCCTCTCGAAGCCAATCGTGCTTCTGGGCCCCCGCCGCCGTGAGGCGCAGGTCGGCACTCTTGAGCAGGAGGGATCGCACGAAGTGCTTCGAAGCCTCGCTCGCCCTAGCCCACGCACTCCCTTTGAAGACGAACCTCCCAGCTGGAAACAAACGTGGTCAATTGAACGGGAAACAGTGGGAATAACGAGAAGATCTAGAATGAGGGCCAGTACAGCAACCGCATGATAGCAACGAAAAAAACTACTCAACAAGTTATCTACGAACATAAGCAACAAGTACCAAGAGAGCAGCCAACAGCCGACAACGAAAACGAAAACGCCAGCTCAAAATCCAGAGGCAATATTTGTTCTCCAAGACTCACACAAGATGTTGCGTTGTATTCCCTCCGAGGTGTCGGCGTTGAACGGTAGCATGCGGCTCATCAGGAAGTGGGTGACGACCCCAAGACTCCACATATCCGCCGGAGCCGGGTGATACTGGCCCTTTATCACCTCGGGGGCGACGTAGTTCTGAAAACAATGGGGGCGTGGACCCAACAAAAATGGTGGCAACGTGGGGTCCAGGTTGCAGTCAAGACCAGCGTGGAATGGGGGAGAGAGAGAGAGGGAGAGAGAGAAAGTGGCAACGGTGGTACCCGCGCTACCGTTCGAAGAATCAACGTGCTCCGGCGGGGGGTTATGACGGGGGAGCTGTCCTCCTCCGCCAACTGTTGCCAATGTGATACACTGTAGCAGCACCGGGTGGGGCCCCAACGCACGAGACGGCCACGCCCCTGGGGGTTTCCGCTTGCCAGCCTGCACCGGGATATTATAGACTGACAGCGAACCGAACACTTAACGCATTACTTCACTACGCCCTCTCAAAACGCCCCCCCCCCCCGCCGAAACCCTCTCAAAACATTCGACGAGGCCCCTTCGCTGCATGCGTGTGCAGGAGGAACGCCGAGATAAAGCACTCGTTTTTACTCACCCAGCTCCCCAATATGTCGGTCGACACGCCGTTCTCTCGGTAAATGGCGCTCAACCCGAAATCGATGAGCTTGATCGCGGGAGGACTGCCCTCCTTGTCTCCCGTCTCTATCAGAACGTTTTCCAGCTTGAGGTCCCGATGCTGACAAGACAGATTGTGGGCCAGCACAGGAGTAGTGAGCCAGAAAAGGAGATTATTAGACAGAATCCGGGGGTGGGGGGGGGTGGGTGTACTCATAGTCGTGCATGCCGTGTCGTTAGACCATTGGCCTCGCATCCCTACAAAGCTGGGACGGAGCACGCCGGGTTCTCACCGGACCAGGCTCTCACATCACCAAGCGCNCTTCCTTGCGTACGGATGACAGTGCGTATGAATTGATTTATTTTCTGGTGCTTTCACTTCCAGAGACAGTTATTAGGCACTGTGTAACTGCCTCGAGGGTGCTTGACCATTTCAACACAACGTGGTGCGATGATCCCCGTTGCGCGGAGTGAGGATTCTCGACCCCTCACTACATGATCTACTCGACCACCATTATGGCTGTCTCTTATACACATCTAGATGTGTATAAGAGACAG